AAGAACCATTTTTTATTTAAACAATAAAAAATCGAACCAGTTTTTTTAGAAACGATGAGATGAATATTAATCGAATTTTAGAAACTATGGGTAGCAGATTTTTAACCGATTTCAACTGACTTTTCTGGCCATTAGAAAACATTCATTTGCATTAAAAACAATCACAAGACCATTAAAGTACTCGTTTTCAATCCCAAAATTATCATTTTAACCTTTTATTGATAGTATAAATAGGTGTTGGTTGTATGGTTTAATACCCCGATTTCTTTATACCAAAAATTACATCAACTACTTAAAATAAGGAAGTTTGGTGTAATTTTGATTTTTGCATTATGAAAGATGACGAATTACAAGAAATGTAGGAAGTTTTACAACGCTGCCGAAAACTCAACTTTGAAAAATCATAAAGTTGGTGCTTGCAAAGCGACGGAAGAACGCAATTTTGATTTGAAGCAAACTAATATTGGATCGGATGAGTGTTTGTTTATTTACGACAACGATGTGATGGAAAAAGTATTTGCAAAACTTGTCATCTAATAAGCATTTCTGAAACACCCTCCGTATGGCCTAGTAGAATTGTGTTTATGTTTTTTTAAATCATTTATTCATTTGATAACATCAATGCAGAATTTGTTCCCAAAACATTAACGCAAATTTAAATCCAATTTTAAGTACAAAACATTAACGCAAATTTAAATCCAATTTTAAGTACTAGAGTGTTTAATATAATATCATTACAAAGTCTAAGATAAACCTTACATATCATGACCTTAAAATGCAAGTATATGCTAGTCAAGTTCATCTTCATCTTCAAGTACATGTCAAAATAATAATGTTACACTTGGAGAGTGTAGTGAGTAACATCATAATTAGACTTTCGTATGGAGTTAGATGATGACAATAACCTTGTTCCTCAGTCTTAATTTCCAAAGCATTTATCTAACATCCCCTTTGACACATATCACAATATTATTTTCTTTGGGCTCCCGACATGAATACTTCCCAAGGGGTCACCCATCTTAGAAATGTTCTCGCTCGGGCACACTTAACCGCATAGTTCTTATGGTAACTGTTGTTGTAACGTCCCAAAAATTCATTGCAAAATTTTCGTTTTTAAAACCATAAACAATACAAATGATTTGTTCTGAAACCAATCAAGTGATCATATCATTTAAACATCAGAGTAAAAGTCACAAATAGCCGATGCGGAAAATGCTAAGGGATGTTGTGCAGTCACGTCAGATCCTTCCCTTTTGTATTGGAAGTACTTGAAACCATAAACATGAAACTGTAAGCACACAACTTAAGGGAGTTCCTAATAATACCACATACCATACATACAATTGGGCCTAGCCCGCACATTAGGCCCAACCTGTAACAATGAGCCTACCCCTTCGTAATGAATGGGCCTAGTCCCACATACGTATGGGCCTAACCCGACATACTATGGGCCTAACCCAATATATGATGGCCCTATCCCAACATAAAATGGGTCTAGCCCAACATACACCAAGCTTAGCCGAACACACTATGAGCCTAGCCCAACAATAGGCCTAGTCCACTCATGCAAATGGGCCCAGTCCTAAATGCATGCCAATCAACCCAACACATCAATACAATAGTCACGACGATAACTAGCATCCTACATACTACATTCTAGTGAGTCGACATTGGTTCCTTCGACCCCAAACATACAGTAAGGAGACTCACCTCAATCTGAAGATAACTGAATCACACATGTTAAACCTAAGCTCTAGAATAGCTTTTACTCACAAGAGCCAAGCCATGGGACCAAAAGCATGAATTTTTTTATGCTAATCAAGATCTAAGCAAGTGAATCATAAAGGTTCAAGCTTTATACCTCTTGAAGCTTGTAACGGTGATGAATGTTCTGGATCTTCAAGCTTCAAGCTCACTAAGGCTTCTCCAATGGATCCCTTCTTCACATGAACACACATAATCCACACTAATGCCTTAATCTCTCATAAATGGGGGTAGGGTTTTGATTTGAACGAATGAGGGAGTGGATGTTGAAGGCAAGGGAGGTATTAAGTGATGGGTTTTATACAAACAATCTTATGTGTGCATGCAACCCTAGAGTTTGATATATGTTATCACTATTAGTTATAGAACATTATGAACATGTGAAGAACCCTAACAAGCTTCTAGGGATTTCAAAATTCACAAAGAAAGATGAAATACATACCTCTTGTTGTTATATTGTAATAACAACTTAAATCTTGAATCTTCTTGTCTTTGAAAGCAAGCGCCACAAGTGTTGCGCCTCTAATGGCTCACAAACAAACCTAACAACCAAGGATTACTATGGAGAGAGAAGGAAAGTGGAAAATTCGGCTCTAAGCCTCTCTTTGAGTTCCTTGGACGAAATCCAACCCTATAGGGGTTTATATAGGTGATAAGTAAGGTCTAGGATAAGGCAAGTGTATCTTAGATAACCCTAATCCCTTAACTTCCTCCCTAAGGCTTCCAAGGCACCCTTAGAGCCCAAGGAAACCCTAGGACACTCTATATTTCGTTCCTCACCTCTAAGGGAGATTCTAGAATGCTTCAATGCTCAACTTTTGAACATTGTCACCTTTAGTCCCTTTCAATTAATTCCTTTAATCCTAAAATTAATTCCAAATTAATTTTTGATTAAATATTAATTAAACAATATGATTTCTAATCAATATATTATATCCATAATACATTAATAAAACATTTATCTTGATTTCAAATTAATTTATTAATCAAGTAATAAATTAATAAATCATTCTTCTCTCTCCAATAATTATCCTATTCCATTGCCAGGTTTGAAGGCAAGCCAAAAGAACCATGCACAACCGGGTCAAGTACTTACCAAATATGGTTACGGGCTTAGACATGAATCCAACAGTTTCCCACTTGGATAAGTCTAGTACCCGATTGGTAATCGTAGCTCTCAAAGACGCTGTCGAACTCTGATTTTATCAGTAACCTGTCCTTTAGATAAGGGGTCATATATTCCTCCATTTTAGATATCGTATCGACGTGAGACATGGATTGAAATCATTCTCTCAGTCTATGTGTTGTTTCCCGATTTCCGATTTACGATGACTGACTAATTGAACAAATCAAATTAGCCCTAGCCCGACCGAGCATTTACGTGTGTCATCACTAAATCATCAAGGGGCCCACAAATATCGCTTTTATCCCACTTTGGGTAAAAGGAACGGATAAACTTCGACTCAATGCTTTCTTGCACTCACTCACCAAATCACATACAATAATATGTTTTATAACACCAAGTTACTGGTACGTTTACATATTATCAATGTGTAACCAATTCGCAAGATACAACTCACACATCTCAGTTTCAAGAATAAAAGATATTATCGTCTCACCAATCACTCGTGATAAAATCCATGAAGCGATCCAAGTGAGCGTGGGTTTAATCCAATGCTCAAAATCATATTCATAAGAACTCATGAACGTTGCAACAAACCTTTGATATGTCTAATACACTTTAGACAATCTACAAACCAATTCATGACAGTCTTCATTCATACATACTTCCAACATATGAACGACTGTGGACCATTCGAATAATTTGATTATTCTGAAATAATTAATTATTCAGGAAGTCAAAACATGCAAAGTGAAACACAAGAATAATACTAATCCTATATGGTCCCAAACCTTTGAGTATAGATAAAACATCTTTTATTTATCACTATATCGATTACTCATTATTTGTTGTTTCGGTTAATTAACTTATTACTTGAATTATTACTACAATTGTCCCTTGCTCTTAGCATGCACACAATGTTTACCTATGGTCTTTACTTTGTGAAATAGATCAAATGAACACATTTCCAATCATACTCATTTTACAACTCCCAATCCTTATCACTAGTGTAAGAATATTAAATTCTTGCCACTTATAGAATATGTTATATTCTAACGTTTTATTCAACGATCCTTTCGTACTGTCACTGCACTAAAGTCACAAAGACTATTGCCAATGAAATTACAAAGTCCTATATTGGAGATTGTTGCAAGACAATTCCATAGATACAAAGTCTCATATTCACAGTACATTCCTTTGAATATCCTTCTGCATAAAAGTATCTAATCTAGACATATAGATTCTTAACGTCTAACTCCCAATATGGAAACATTTCCACATTTTCCATATGACAACTCATTATCAAATCTTGTAATAATAATGTCAGTATGGTCCACCCACTACTATACTTCAAACTATTCACAAGCAACCAATCCTTGACGAATCTTAGATTGTTCTTTGATAGTTGTTTAATAACTTAATCATGTTCGATTCTAGTCATTTTTACCCACTACTATACTTCAAACTATTCACAAGCAACCAATCCTTGACAAATCTTAGATTGTCCTTTGATAGTTGTTTAATAACTTAATCATGTTCGATTCTAGTCATTTTTCCCTTTTAATGCTCCAGGAATTTGGAAAATATTAGAACGGTCAATTATGACAACATATGCGATCGATCCTATACTCGAAGCGTATAGAACACGAAGCATAATGTATAATGATGTATTTTAATGGAGCGGGTTTGGAACGAATGGAACGGGTTTGGATCAAAATGAGAACACAATGATGAAGTAGAGAAGAGAACAGAACATGGGAGAGGTAAAGTTAGACCTGACAATGGAGCGAGTTTGGAACGAATCGACCTTGATCCAAACCCGTTTAACACATTTCAATTAGAATTAAAAGTAAACTTTAGGTTGTTTAAATAGAAATTTATAATTCTAAAATTTATACGAGGCTGATTATATATGGAATGCACCAGTGATGATCCATACCTGATGTGTAATTTACTCCAAAAATAAAAATGAAATACTAGGACCAAAAGTATAAATTTAGGAAAATCCAATACTAGGACCAAAAGTGAAAATTTAGGAAAATCACATAGACCAAATGTGTAATTTACTCTAAAAATAAAAATGAAATCGCATTCAACGGCCGACCGCTGCTGACGTATCAGAGACGCTGCCATCTTCCTCTTCCCCCTCTCATGTGTTCAGATCTCTTTTCTCTGTTCTCTGTGATCTGGTAAATCTTTACATACGAATCTCTGTCCCTATACGAGTCTATACGTATATATATTCTGTCGAGTATAACAATTTTGAATTTTGTTTTCGATTTTCCCCAATTTTTATTACTCAGAGGAAGAAGATTAGAAGTTGCCAGTTCTCCTAGGTTTTTTTTTGCTCAATCTGATTAATTTAAATCAATCGACATGGCTGCTCCACCAGCTAGAGCTCGAGCGGATTACGATTACCTCATCAAGCTTCTTTTAATCGGCGACAGTGGTATGTATCTGTTTATTATGCGAATCTCGATTTACAAATACCCGAGTGTCTATCCATGATTACTCGGTAATGTCGGGAGAAATTTATGTTGTTTCCATTATCGAGATCTCTTAGTTTTGCCTTTGATTTTGTGATGTCAAGGGAAAATAGGGTCAATGTGTATTTTGATTGCTATTATCGTAGAAATTCAACACATTGAACACTTCAATAAAAGTATCTGTCTTCCATTCCATTGTAATGAAAGGGAGAACCTCTTCTTTTTCATAATGCTGGTAATATAGATGATTAGATCACACGTTCTTCTGATTACATTCTTCTGCTACAATATCACAGCTTTTCTGATATATTCTATCAGATTCGTACTTCAAGGATTATTTATCACTCAGATATGTATGATTATATTGTGATCACAACTGCAGGTGTTGGTAAGAGTTGTCTCCTTTTACGTTTCTCAGATGGTTCCTTCACAACTAGCTTCATTACAACCATAGGGTTAGTATATTCACATCCTTAATAGTCTGTAAATTAGCTCAGGGCATTCTGGTAATTAACATTTTTCTTCTTCTTCTAAATAGTATTGATTTTAAGATAAGAACCATTGAGCTTGATGGAAAACGAATCAAATTGCAAATCTGGGACACTGCTGGTCAAGAACGATTCAGGACAATCACAACTGGTAACTATTTTAATAAAATAATTTTCCACTTACATAATTTATATGATCTTATTTTAATGTTTCTTGACAAAAATCTTGATGTTTTGTAGCATATTATCGTGGAGCCATGGGTATTCTACTGGTGTATGATGTAACTGATGAATCATCCTTTAACAGTAATTGCTTGTATCTCTTGTCTTTTGTTTCTTTTTTGGTAAAATATTTTCTTTTTTGGGTCATTCACTCATTCATGTTTATTATTATTCCCATGATTTATATATATTTAGACATCAGAAATTGGATTCGTAACATAGAACAACATGCATCTGATAATGTAAACAAGATTCTTGTTGGAAACAAAGCTGACATGGACGAAAGCAAAAGGGTCTGTTTCTCTCTCTCTCTCTCTCTCTCTCTCTCTCATGTTACATGCTGACGTGGCAAAATGATATAGGCTGTTCCTACTTCAAAGGGTCAGGCACTTGCTGATGAGTATGGAATTAAATTCTTTGAAACTGTAAGTAAAAAAAATTGTATTGCTATTTGGAGATTATAATTAATTTTTAATTAGATTTTAAAATTGCTAATTTGCATAAACAGAGTGCAAAAACTAATATGAATGTGGAGGAGGTGTTTTTCTCAATAGCTAGGGATATAAAACAAAGACTTTCAGAAACTGATTCAAAAGCTGAGGTATGTTTATATATTATTTTCTTACTTATGAATTAATTTTATCTATATAATCTTTAATAAACCCTTGTTTTTGATATTAAATTGCAGCCTCAAACAATTAAGATTAACCAAGGAAACCAGGGAGCAGGGTCTTCACAAGGTGGTGAGAAATCGTCAAGCTGTTGTTCTTAATAAAAACCAAAGAAAGGGCAGGGTAGTTATGACGTCATTAATGTTTTCTTTTATTTGTTATTTTGACACTATTTTCAATTTCGTTTACAAATTTGTGTTTCTAAAGTTGTTACTTGTTCTAATCCCATTATGAGAAAAATCAATTTATACATCTTTGCTATTTTGTTGCTTCTTATGTTTCCATAATCTCATATACTTTTTAAAATTTGCAATGCATATGCTACTATTCTTTAATTCTTACATGATATCAAGGAATTCTACTATTATTTAATGCCTACATATCACTCTAAATTGTTTAATAATATGGCCTGTGCTTTGCGATAGGTTTATTAATCTTATATTTTCCACACCGTTTCTGTAATGGTCTGTGTGTTACATAGGGTCCATCTTTGTAAATTTTGTGAAACATGAGGATCATGCTGGTAAATTCGCTATTGGGTATGGATTATTTTTGAAAATTTTAAATATAAGTATCATTTATGTTATTTTTCTATTAGGTAGGGACTATTTTCTGTAATTTTGTGTCGGGTTGTAAGGGACCATTTCTCTAATTTTGAAACACAAGAACATTTTATGTAAAGTACCTATTAGGCAAGGGTCATCTCAATAAATTTATGAAACAAACAAGTAGGGTGCAATTCATGACACCACAAAATGAAATCTAAAATTTAAATTCATATTCGTATTCGTGTCAAATGTAAAAAACATGATTGTCGTATTATGTAGTGTTCGTGTTCAAGATTCGACATGAAATTGATACGATAATATTATGTGTTTGTCTTGTTTTCGTGTTTTGTAAAATTAATTTTGAATTAAATGAACTTAAAAGTTCATTGTATATTTTTTTGTGTTTGATGTATTGGTCGCTTTTATCGTGTTTTAATTGAATCATTTTCGTGTTAGTAAAAACAAAACACGAAATCATATCGTGTTATATATAGTTTGATGTGTAAGGAAAAAGCACAACACGACGACTTGAGTTGTCACCCTTCAAAAAAAAAAACCAATCGTGTAATTTTTCAATTAAACATGGACTATTTATGTAAGTTTTTGAAACATATTGACCATTTCTATAACTTCGTGAAACAAATGGACATTTTCTATAAATTTGCTATTAGCCATACACTATTTATGTAACTTTGTGAAACACAAAGATCATTTCTGTAAATTCTTTATTAGGCTGGGACTAGTTTTGTATCTAAATGAAACACATACAGCATTTATGTAATTTTTCAATTAAATCCCGACCATATTCGCAAATATTACACACGTCTTAGTTTGTCCTTGATTTTTCCCTTGACCCCATGTGATAATCTTCATATTGATTGGTTTAAAATTAGTTTCACTGATAAGTAGTTTTGTAAAATCCATAGAAAATTGTAAAAACATCGTATGGACTTGTAGAAGTAGTCTATGAAAAGCTAAAAATCTAGAATACTGGAATTTAGAAAAATATTTTAATTTTGATAGACTTTGTTCATGCAAAAGTGGCATTGAACAAGCTGTTGTTTCGGGCTAAAATCTAGAAAATTGGTCTAATAGTTCATTTGCATGTTTGGGGTATATAATAATCATTTTAATCTTGAAAACACCTAGTAATATACTTGTTTGTGTTGTATTAGGGGAAAACTTGATACCTCAAGTGCTTACGTGACTCGAAGTGGGAAAAAGCGTTTTGTTGACAAAGGTGAGTCAATCTTTGTGGAAATTAAGTACTTTGTTAGGGAATTACATATCTTAGAGGAATTGGAATGAACTTAGGTTGTATAGGTTGAATGTACCATTTTTTGTGAATGATATGTTATTGATAACAGTGACTCTTTGTTGTGTATGAGAGTTAAGATGTATTACATGATAGACTCTTGTTTTAATCTATTGATGCGTGATGTATGTTAGGTCCATAATAAAAAGAGGGTTTTGTGTTGTTTATATGTGATGTATGCATGATATAATTTATTGGAAATATTTTTCTATAATGATTAGGACACAGCATAATTGTTTTGTACACTAATAAGGATAATGGGGTAGTAACCTAGACTTTAGTGTGTGTACCCTATCCGGATTTTGTGTTGGTTTAAAATGTTGAAAGATACCTATATGTTAAGAGTTTAAGCCAATAGTGATGTTGAATGTTTTTTCTAGAGAACCATTCGGGACATGGCCCATGGACACTAATGTGTTCAGGGACTGGAGTGATGTTGGCGTAGTAATGATGCTATATCAAACATCACGTTTGAGTGAGAAGTTTCTAGCAATGGTGAACGAGTAAGTACCACTCTTGAATGACAACACATGTACTTGTACATGCATCGTCGGAGTAGAAAATGCAACATACTAGAGGTAGTGTTACGAGTGAGAGTTGCGCCTCACTTAGTGCATTGGTGTGAGCTTGTCATGTTAGTAGTGAACGAAGTATTCCCCCACTGGGTTGGTGATGGACCTAGTGCGGAAGGGTTAAGTTGGTCACTTAGTACTGCACATGCCTTGCTTCTGGGTTGGTGGTAGACCTACGGGCGTGTGGTTACCTTACGAGTTGGTGATGGACACTGGGAAGGGAATAGTGATAATTAATATTTAATAAATACTAAAATATGAATAATAAATGTAGACCATAATGGAAACTCATATAATGAAACGTGAACTATGTGATGATGTGCAATATGATTAATTGTGTTCATGCTATGTGATGATTATAGACCTACTCTCGGATATGCATGTCTCCTAACATCGTACTTATATTTGATTCACTTAACATTTGCTGACACTTGTTTATTTGCTTGTTGCTTTTACCTTGTATTGGTGCAGTTAGCATGATTGATGACTTGGTGAGGATGAAGACTTTTGGGTAATTACTTTCTAGTTGATACTTTAGTAATGATAACATTTGGATATGTTGAGTTTTCCATTATTATTGGTTTGCAAACTTAACTTTAATGGAAATGTTTTTTATTTATTTTTATTTTTTTTATAATAAAGTAACATTGATGATTTTTTATTAACTGTTAAATAAAACTTCCGATAAAAATCACAATGTTACACCTATGAGATTTCTTTACTTGAATTCAAAAGTTTCATTATTTGAATTTAAGGATTATATAGTTACATTAACAACATAACCCTTATAATTATCTATAATAATTATATAAATAACTAATATAACTTTCTTACCATAATTAATTAATTAATTAATCTCATTAATTAAATTTTAATCATTTATTAACTCATTAATAAATAATAAATTGACTTATTAATTTTTCATTATTTATTGACACCTTAATAAATAAAATTTAATTCACCTCATTATATATTCTTGTTACATAATTTTAAGCTAAGTGTGTAACCATAGAACTCATGTAATTATTATGTCACTTACATGTTATGGAGTGAACATATTTCTAATATATATTCTTCTTTGTCTTAAATGATGATAATAATTTTACTG